ATGTTTTCATGAAAACAGCTTACACCTAATTTCATTTTTCCTCTGGAATATTTATCAATCCAAATTGTAACTTCCTCAAGATTATTTTGACACAGAGTGCAGAACAGAGATGCAGCCTTTTAGTGCTCATTAACACAAACAGTCCTATTGTAGCTCTGAAGAATTGGAAATTCCAGAAATAACTAGGGACAGAAAAAAAAAGACAGAAAAAACCTAAATTTCACCTTTCCTGTCTCTTTAATAGTAAAGTTAATTAAGCCCTAGATGTTTACTTGAACAACACCTTGGGTTACATTTTTTTACTATTTAAAAACATTAAAATAAATATGTAAATAAATATGCATAAAATTAGAATTTCAAATGGAAAGTGTCAGTATCAAAAATAAACCTAGGAAAATATCCTAGCTTATGACAATGTCATTAGAGAAGCAGTTCTGTCAGAACTGATATACTTCCCCATGGTAATAATAAATTATTATTAAATTAAAGAAAATAATATATTTTAGGAAAGAATATGTATTCTTTCCTAGAATATAGGAAAGAAAATTTGTATTCTAGGAAAACACACCTCAAAGAACACATGGGCAGATTTCCAGGCTGCTCTCCTGCCATCCTGGCTGGGAGCAAATTGTGCCATCACAGAAGGCAGAGTTCAGCATTATCAGCTCAGCTGCCTACATGGGCATCAAACTCATCATTATTTTTTTCATCTGAACCTCCTTGCAGAGAGTTACAGCACAATTGTTCTGATTTCAGCTTTTCTGTTGGGTAACATGATCATGCAAACATCCTTTGTGCTGTTTCATCCCAGCCCCAGCCTGGCAGCACACAGATGTTCCAGATCCAGGGTCCATTTTCAAAAGAACACAAAATGCAAACAGTGCAACAGGAGCAATTTTAGCAGAGTTAGAACATACAAGAAAAGTACAAAGTGAACCATGAGACATCTACTGCACAACAAATTCTTCATTCCCAGCTCTGCCTTTCCTCACTTCTTGTTTGCATCTTAAAAAGTTCTGTCAGCAGAACCTTCCTGCCCAAGAGAGGGGCTCCTAATTTAGGATGACAGCCAGTTAAAGAAGCTCTTTGGGGTTTCCCTGGCAACAAACCCATCCTAATACTGCAATGAGACCAATCAAATTCCCAAAGTTCTTGCTCCTCCTGCCACACCCTGAGTCAGCAAGGTCATCCTGGAGAGCTGCTGCCATTTTTCCATTTTTGAGCATCATCCCTCCCTGCAGATCCCATTTACCTGCAGTGGGATGCTCACAGACATCAGCCTCCCTTGCTTTTCCCAGGGAAATTATCCCTCAAAAACTCAGTAGTGTGTCTGAACACAGCAGTGCAGGAATTGTAACAAAACCAAGGCCAAACCCATGCAGACAGCAGCACATTTCAAGGGCAGTACCCCCTCCTGCTCATCACTCCTGCTGATACTGCACCTCCAGACAATACAAGTTTTGCAAAGCTGTGGATTAAAGTGGATTCACTGCAAGTACTGCAGCCAAGGATTTTTTCAGGGCTGGTATCCACAAGATGCAGTGTAATGAGTCCCTGTGATCCATTATTTATGTTATGGTAACACAACACTTTCCAAAAGCATTTGCTTTCCTGACTAAAAGGATTTTCCTGTGACTGCTGTAGTGAACTTCAAGCCTGAGCTACTTTTACATGTCCAAGATCTTCCCAGAAGTGATTCTGTCAGATAAAATAGAACTATTGTGGTGGGTTTTGTAAAAAATTAACACATATTTTTGTTTTTCCACTTCATGGTCCTGCATTTTCAGTTCAAAACATATATATATATATATGTAAATGAATATATAACACATATAAATATACCTATACACACACATATTACACACCCCTTTGTGGTTCCTGAGGTTGCAATTTGATGATTTGTGAGCTGCAGTCTCTGTCTCTCCCATTTCCATTTCCCTGGTGTTCCTGGTGCCCCCCAGCTAAACTGGGAGCTTCTGACTGAGGCAGCCAAACCAGGAGAAATCTGGCCCAGAAAAAACTCACACATTAAATACCAAATAAAAATCCAAACCAAGACAAACCTCCCAACCTTCCCCCCACCACCACCCCCAAATCTTTTTGCCTGTTTAGCTCCAGATTGGGGATCAAGGTCTGGCTTTATTTTAAAATGATGACAGTAAGGTTTTAGTCCAGCATCACTCCCATCAATACTTGCTAATCACCTGAAAGAAATTATTGCTATTGAAATTTTTTCTAAGTAATCCTTCAAATCTTTTGAGGAATGGTTTTCCAACACCACCATACAGTGGATGCCTGTCCAACTCAGTATTATTTCTTATAATACTTGCTTCAATTCTCTAATAAAAAAGATCTTGTAAAGTCATATAAGTTTACATATGATATGTCATATATGTTTACATACATATTAAAGTGTCCTTGAAGTAGAGACTGTAAAATAGAATTCATGCTTGTAGAGTTGATAATGCATTATTTATCCTACAGGAATGCCTCTACAACAGCAGTCAGAAAGCACAACCAAAGTACTGAAGCTGTTAAACAGAGGAGGGAAATAAACAAAATACAAAATAAACAAACAAAGAAAAACAAAAACCCTAAACAAAAAAAAAATACAACAAAAATACATTTCAAAAAACCCACAAAACACTTGGAAACAAAGAAAAAATACAAAGTTGAAATCTCTTTTATGACCTTAATTCATGTCCACTCTGCCCTCACCAGAGTGCTAGGAACCTTATCTGCAGCAGCAGAGTAGGAGCTGTTTGCAATGTCAGCTCTACAAGCAAAGATCCCATGCACAGGAAAGAACACAGGAAATGAACATCAAGATCATAAATTGATAATGAAATACAAAAAGTTATTTAAAAAAAACCTAAAACCTGCAACTATTTCAATTATTTGTAATTCTCTCCATGGCCACAACAATCTGCAGTCACAGCTGTGAAGCTGCCAAAAAGCTGTTTAATTGAAAGTCTGGCATGTGTTTTTTACTACCTTACTCACTTTTTAAAATGTGATCTTAATTGCCAAAAATGAGGCGAAAGAACATTATTTGCTTTTGGAGAAAAAAAAATAATTATTTTTATCCATCATATGTATGAAGAACAAAATGCCCCAACACAAATACATTGATATTTGGAACTAAACATTAAAATGCCAACCTCTTAATACCATAACTCCCACCATTTACTTGACCCTTCAAGGTCTCCTTCCTAAGGGATCCTTCCCCTGTTTATCCCAGCCATCAGTTCAGTTCTCCAAAGCTGAGCTGTGCTCCAGGAAAGGCATTAAATTAAACCCAAGGCAGAGGAACCATCTGCAGATGATCAGGTAACAGCAGCAAGAAACAGTTCCCACTGTGCCCACTTCTCCTTTAGGTCAGTGGCAGATTTGCCAGAAGCAGGAGACAGAGAAGTTTCTTCCCTTTTCTTTCCTTGGCAGGATTCCAAATTTTCCCCCTTGAAACTCCTTTGCTGTGGGTTTTTCTGAATGGAAACTTTCCCCCTGTGCTGACGGGCCCAGGAAGTGCTCTCTGTTAGCCTGATTAAATCAGTCAAAACCTGAGAAGAAATTTTAAATAAATTCACCAGGCTTTGGGTCAGCAAAATGTAAATTTGGTAAAGATGCAGCTCATAGGAATCTGCAAGAAGTGGCTGTTTCTTTACCTCATGGAGCTCAAGGAGAGTGGAGGACATCAGGTCCTCAGTCTCTGATAGAGGTCTAAGAACTTTTCAAATACTACCAAGTATGTTTGAAAGCTTCAATGTGTTCAGTAGAGGCTGGAGTGACACCTTTTCTACATGCTGTAAAAAAAACACTAATTCTACTTCCTAACATGCTTGGACTTTTCTAAAATATGTAGCAGCCCTACACAGGGTTTTCAGAACAGGCTTGGTTTCTTAAATATTATTTTCTGATGGGGAAATTGAAATTTGCTAGTCTGAATTTAAAGCCATTGTCCTGATGAATATAAAGGTAAGATGAAATGGAGGTAAAAATAAAAACACCCATGGATATTTGAGTTTAGTTACGTAGCACTCTGATTTCACTTTCTTTCCTCTCCCTTCCCCAAGAACCATTTCCATCAGCCAGCCTGGGGTTTGGGAGCCTGGCAGTAACACAGGGGCACAGTGTGTGCTGCAGTCTGCTGAGAAGTAACATGCTCAACATCCCAATTTTCAGGAAATGTCCTAGATCTTAATTGCCCTGCAGTTAGTGTGGCTGAGGAAATAGGTTCTGAATTTGTCTGGCTCCAGCAGAAATGTTTTTCAGGTTAACTCAGTAGAGAAAGGGTATTTGATAGGAGACATTTCCTTCTTCAGGACTGGAGTTAAAATGATGCTGGAATGGGTAAACAGCAGCCACAAAGCAGGTCTAACATTTCAGATCATGCTGTTGTGACTCTTTAGGGCTCTTGCCTGTACCAGGGAGCACAGAGCAGAGCAAGGAGGGGACAGACAGAACCACAGAGCCTGGTGCACCCCATGGAAGCCCCCAAGCACCTGGCCTGTCCCTGCTCTTTGGAAGGGGCACAAGGGGCTCTGTGCCACCCCAGAGTGAGCAGCCCCAGGGTGTGCAGTGATGCAGCTCTGCCCTGGCAGCGCTCATCTCACCCAGGGCTGCGGGCTGAGCTCCAGGGACTGCAGCCGGGGCAGCACAGCGATGTCTGCTGCAGCTGCATCACCTCCGTGCCTCATTTCACCGCTGAAACAGCAGCACCACCTCCTCTGCCCCCAGGCTTTCTAGCCTGCCTCTCACAGGCAGGTGAGAGCGGGATGAGCCCTGGCTGCCCTGCACTTCTGGTGACTGCACCTCTGGGTGGTTTTAAGTGCCATACTCTTGAGTGTCTGACCTGGCAGGGTCAGCAAGTGTGTGGGCTGAGGAACAAAACACCAGACAATCGTTTTCTTCTCACTTTTCTTGCCTATGTTATGCTGAAGTAATGTACTGTAGCTTTTTTTTTCCCAGGAATTTCATGAATATTTCTTTTTTTCGTCCAGCTACGACGAATGTGTGGGGCCAGGAGCAACACAGATATATATTCCCACAGATGATCCCCCTCCATATTCCCTGACGGACCCTTGCCAAAGAATTGAAACACCTGGAAACATCTATAGCAGGCAGGAGGAGGGGGCAGCCCGTGCCGCAGGGAGGCTGCGGGAACCCGGC